CACTGTAATTATTTTGAGATCAGTGTTTTTTCTCACAGTTCTTGGGACATCCTCCTGTGCTTCTGACAGTACCAGGTTTATTATAAGAGCTTCAAAACTATTTTCTTTTTAAATATATATATTTGTATTGATTTCATTATTGATTTCAGAGAGAGGGATAGATAGAAACATCAATGATGAGAATCACTGATCAGCTGCCTCCTGCACACCCCCTACTAGGGATCGAGCCTGAACCTGGGCATGTGCCCTTACTGGAACTGAACCTGGGACCCTTCAGTCTGCAGGCTGATGCTCTATCCACTGAGCCAAACCAGCTAGAGCATGGATATTTATCTTAAAGAAACCCAAAACACTAAATCAGAAAGACATATACTTCCATATGTTCATTGAAGCATTATTTACAGTAGCCAAGATATGGAAGCAATATAAGTGTCCATCAATAGACGAATGATAAAGAACTATTGCATATATACAGGAATATAACTCAGCCATAAAAAATAATAAAATCTTGCCATCTGCAACAACATGGATGAACCTAGATAGAGAGCGCTGTGCTGAGTGAAATAAGTCAACAGAGAAAGACAAATGCCATATGATTTACTTATATATGGAATCTAAAAAACCAAATAAATGAATAAACAAAATAACAAACAAACTCACAGATACTCATAGAGAAAATTTTGATAGTTGCCAGATGGGGCATGCATGGGGGTTGGAGGAATGGGTGAAAAAGGGGAAAGGATTAAATAGTGCATATTTGTAGTTACAAAATAGTCATAGCATAAAAGACTAATATGCAAATTGACCAGGAGTTTGACTGCTTGCTATGACGTGCACTGATCACCAGGGGGTGGCACGGAACATGGTGAGCGTCGGTGACATGATGCTGGCAGTGGGTGGCAGTGGAGGTGCTGCCGGGCCCCAATGGGCCCTGACAAGAGCAGGACTGTGGTGGGTTGGTGGAGCAGGTAAGCAGGTGGCGCCAGGCCAAGGTGGGTGGAAACGGGGGCCCAATCGCCTCGCTCATCGCCCTGCAGATGGCAACCAGTGGCGGAGGTGGGGAGTGGAGCTGCTGCCCAGCTCTCAGGTGCTGAGGGAGCCAAGCGGGGGGCCCATCCCTGACCAATCGCCCCTGCAGATGGTGACCATCAGCCGGCAGGCCCTGATCGCCTGATTAGGGCTTGGGACCTGGGCTGGGACAGGGATCTGGGGGTAGGTGGAGGCGACCAATCTCCTGTGGCACCGGGTGGGGGCTGTGACCTCTTGCCGGCTACCTGGAGGGGGGTAGTAACGGGGACGGAGGTGCCATGAGAATGTGAGGTGTCCACCAAGCTCGCTCTTACTCTCCCTGCTACCCTTCCGTGGGACACCAGGGCTCACATGCTGAGGAACCCCCCACACTCAGGTTCCAGGCACCTGTGAGGAGCCCGCCCTTCACCCATGCAGCCTCTTCCCGGTGAGCCGGACCACAGCCGCCTGGATGGCAGGGGCCAGTTGGGCTTCCTATGGGTTCACGCAGGAACCAGTCTGCGAGGCCAACTGGGAGAGAGTGCGCTGTCTATCCAGCTTCCGTGTGGTGCTGCTGGGCAGCCCAGAGGCCCATGCTGTGCCCCAGCCACGGCGTCCAGCCACACTCACTGCATCTCTGTGTGGGGACTCAGGTGCAGTGACTTAGGCAGAGTGGGCACGCAGGAGGCTGCCCAGGGCCCAGAGGTCAGCTGGGACCTGCCCTTCCACACCAGACGCTCACGGTTCAATTGCAGGCCAGGCCTAGGGACCACACCGGTGCACGAATTTCATGCACCTGGCAGCGGCAAAAGGACAGACTACTCTAGTAGTCAATAATC